TAGGATTGCCAATGTTAAGGTTAATTGGTTAGTTAGAATTAAGATTACCATGTATTTTACTTGTTTGAGTTTGCATCTCAACTTTTATATGTGAATAAATATATGGACACAAAGTATAGTTAGAATTATGATTACCAAATTTTATTTTTTACTGGCCAAAGTATAATTTTTATATAGTTTTCATGTTTGCATCTAAGATATAGTTTGCACCAAAGTATAGGTTATATTTTATTTGTTGTAATGCAAATTGTTCTCATTGACATTAATTTGTGATATTTTGATTTTTGTTTGTTAAATTACAACCGTTTTGTTAGATGCAAGAAATGTATTGGGGGGAGTTTTGACGAAAACGGGGTCGTCCTCGAGAATTATACCCCGACGCGTCTAGCAAAGATGCCCCTGTCCCTACTGACCTCCCTGTCCCTAACTGTGACTGTGATTTCCCAACGGACGTGTTTCAATCGAGACATCTAGACACAGCGGCGCGTTGCTTCTATACATGTAGTCGTTTTAATGTAAGTAATTGTTTTCACTATCTTTTTTTCTTCATTTGTGTAAGTAGGCAACTAATATTTTGTTAGAATCTTGTTGTGTAGGACCATGAGAGGTGCCTTTTCTTTCAGTGGATCGACGGTGTAGAAAAGTTTGATCCTAGGTACCTCCTTTTCGACGATTGGTGTAGAGGGAGACATCCACGTGAGCACTTCCAGGGTTACGTTCCACCCCCCTAACCCCCCACCAATAACGGCTAAGGAGAAGCACCTAGCCGCAGTTAGACGACTCGAGGGACCTCCTCTGTGCAAATGCGGAGATCGAGTTGTGATAAATCCTGAGAATACGTTGGAGTTTGTGTGTCCGAACAAATACGAAGTAAGTGGAAAGTGTATCTGTTTAAATGTTTATCTCTATATGTGTGCGTGTACTAATGTATTCTCTTGTAGCGTTATGGATTTGCAAGGTGTCATTTCAATGAGTGGCTCTACGGTCCTAAGAATCAATGGCTGGAGCCACCAAAGGCAAAGAAAAAGGAGAAAGAAAAGTTAATTTACAAAGCACATCTAGTCAAGTGCGAATGTGGTATTAAATCTAACTACGGTCTAGTCCCTTCGGAGCTTGGAATAGGCCATTATTGCGGCCATATGGTTGACTATGATGAGGTTGGTTATTTTTGTGGTAAATATGAAATCATATTTTGTTTCTTTTGCTAAGACATATATGATATAATTTTTTATTTGAACAGAGCACTAGGAAATACAGGTGGGAATGTTATGATGATCAAGCTAAGTTCTTGGATGAACTAAAGGGGAGGCAAGTAATTGCACGAAAGATAGGATATGGACCTGACTACGTTAACCTATTCGTTAAACATCACAAAAACAAGATGCATGAGTTTGCTAGACAGCGCGGTATTCGTAACTCGATCGATGTTGGCCTAAACAAATGGGGATTGGAGAGACAGAGGACGTTAGAGGAGAAGAGGGCAAGGAATGAGGCAAGGCAGGAGGAAAGAGTACAGATGCAGGTCTTGAACGACCATGTTGTTGCATTGTGTGCCAGTGAGTCATAGAAAGCCTTGTTATTTCCATTGCCTGCTTTTAAATGTAATATAATCGTGTTGCTAACTTGTTGCGTTTCATACATAAAGGGATTAGATGTAGCGAGTACCATGCCGCAGAGGTGGCTCGTGCAAGATTTGAGGAAAAGAAGTTGCATGAGTACAGAACGCGAGATGGTCGCACCGTTCAATCTCCAATTATGTTGTCTGATGAGGGGGACTAGGATGAGGACGACACTGTCAGGTTGAGCGATCTCATCGCTCTTGCTGAGGCGGGCTTGCAGGTGGAGGAGGCTGAGGACGATGCTGGTAGACTGAGCGAGCTCATCGCTCTAGCAGAGGCGGGTTTACAGGCGGAGGAGGATGACGACATGTTCTTCACTCAGGCTACAGAGACCGCAGATGAAGCGGATGCCGCTTACTACAGGCAACGGACAGATCAAGACAATGCATGTGAGCCTAGCCACATGAGCCAGATGGAGGAGGACGCGTTCTTGACTCAGGCCGTAGATGAAGCGGAGGAAGCTTACTATAGGCGATAAGCAGATCAGGGAAATACAGGTAAGCCTAGCCACAGCAACGAGATTATGGTAGAGGACTGGTACTCGGATGATGAGTTGCTTACTCAGTATGTTTCAGACTGAGGATTAGTACAGGTGTGCTAGTTCGATGTTTTAGATTTGGTATTTGTATCGTACTATAACTTTCTTGGTGTTGCATTGTGTTTCATTTGAACTATTTATGTATTGTACCCATATAACAAATAATGTTTAATTTTTGTAACGGATATTGTGTTATCTCATAAAACATTCGCCACAAAAAATGGTATTGCAATGCTGCTGCTGATGCGCTTAGAAAGGAGTCTGGCTAGCGCCCAGCATGGGTTTGCCGCATCATCGTCTTCCCAGTATCAAACCTCCCCTTCGATGTGAAATCACCGTCAAACTTTGCATTCAAACGGACACAGGTTGTTGAAGCTAGGAGGTTCATCAAATCATTCTAATTCTTTTTCCATATCCTCAAACATATCATCTTCTCTCCTAACACTTCCTCCGTAAAACACTCTAACACAACAATCCATCTACAAAAGCATTTCAAGAAACTTTATCAAATCGTCGAAATCGTCGTACGTACTGTCCATAATAATATTAATACATATTCTAACTATAACTATACTAACTAATCTAATATTAACATCTATACAAGACTAACTACAACAACTAATTATACTAAATACAATAACTAACTAGACTCATTAACTGTACTAACTAAACTAACTAACTTTACTAACTATATTAACTTACTATACTGCCTATACTAAATAAACTAACTAACTTTACTAACTATACACTAACTATACTTTACTAACTATACTAACTTTACTTATTGTACTAACTTACTATACTAACTAATCATTCAAACTAATTTTGCATCTTAACCCTAAGTAACAACAATGTCGATTCAATCAACAAATACACAAGGGGAGTGCCTCATGGCAAAAGAAGATGCTCTCGTCCCCTCGGCAAGCAGAAGGAAGGCGCCGTCCTCACGGCGGTGCGCTAGACCGGACCGGAGGCGGTGGTCGCGGGGAGGCGCGGCTACCGCCTCGCCGGGCGGGCGGCGGTGGACGCGGGATAGAGGGAGGTGCGCGCGACAGTTGGGAGTGGTGTACAGCGGCGACGCGGCAATGAGGGCGGTGGGCCGGGTGGGCGGGCGCTGGGGCTCGAGCGGGCGGCGAAAGCGGGTCGGCGGGCGGGCGGGCGGTCGGCGTATGGGCGGCGAAAGCGGTCGGCGGAGGAGGCGCGGCGGCGGCGGCGTGGGCGGGCGGGCACGGCGAAGCGCGCGGCAGCCAGGCGGTATGGGCGGCGGGCGTGCATAGTGTGGCGGTGAGGGCGGTGGCAGGCGCGGCGGGAGTGCGTGGCGCGGCGGCGGCTCTGCTTCAAACACGCCGAGAGAGAGAGAGAGAGAGAAAGGGAAGCGAGGCCGAGCCGCAGGCCTGTAAAGGGTCTGCCGCGCCATGATGCGTGGCGCGGCAGTCCCGACGCGTCATGATATGTGGCGCGGCAGAGCTGGGCCACATCACCGGTCAGCAGCCTTGGTCATTGCCACGTTGGCAGCCTCGCCTCGCCTCCATGTATGGCGCGACATATTGTATTCGTCGCGTCATGCGAATAGGCGCGGCCAAAAGTGTTAGATTTAAAAAAAATTAAACATTGTCAGTTTTAAAAATTATTTAAAAAAAGTGTTTAAAAATTCCGCCGGGGCCCGGGGACCGCCCGTAGTGCCAAGTGTGGCGCCCGGTTTCTCTTTTCTCCGCCCTGCTTTCCGGCTCTCCTTTTCCGGACGAGAGGCCGAGACAGGTGTGTGGTGCGTGGTCGGCGAGCTGGGCGTGGGGGTGGTGAGATGAACTGATGCGATGCGATGCGATGCGATACGATGCGTGCTGATCTGCTTCTGCTTGCGTCCGCGGATGGTCCACGACACGCGAGATGGGCATTTTCAACTGGACAGTGCCGGGGGAGCGTGGACGGACCTCTCGCAAAGGCGTATATGCCCTCGGTGTTATGACTGTGACTCTGGTGAGAGGTATTGGTATTGGGCTATTGGCTCTTGACAGGTGGAGCACTTCAGTGGGCGACTGCTTTTCATCAGTCAACTGTCCAAAAGATCTTTTTTAGCTCGTTGGGTATGTGAGCACAGAGTAACAAAAAAAAAATCATGACAATAGTTAAGTTGGCTTCAACACGGCGATCGCTTTCAGGTCCTTCTAGAGCGTTTTTTTTTGTTCACAGTGCGCACCATATTATTCTTCCTTTCGTGTGCGCCGTTATATTCGTGTATAAGCATTACTAATGCGCTTCATTTCCTAGTCTGCTTTCTAACTTTTCAGATGCCCAAGCCGCAACCAGCAGCTTCGCAGCAGAAACGCCCTGGCTCTGGCTGGAGACTAACACCTCACAAGAGGGTATTGTATAGCACAGTATATGACATTAACACTACTTTGCACTTCCGTTAGTAGGAGGGACTCATTTTTTGCGTACTAGGCTACTGGCTCTTTCAAGACATCAGTATCTATTTTCTACACTCCTTTCACCACAGGAAGTAAGAACAACACGGACCTTAACAAGGAAACAAATTTTGGGCCCGGACTTAGCCCACAAGACATCGGTTAGTGTGGTCGAATGATTTCATTGCTTATTTGATTAAAATATTTCTACACAGGACAGGCGTTATTACAACGGGGCATTGGGCTAACAATTTCATTAGGGAAGCAGGTGGGCCGTCAGGCATCAATTGGGCACGGTCAAATCTAGCACCCACTGCTGCAGCAATTCCTCTTCGCGGGGCGCTGCCTGCTCCAGGCCTCCAGCTGAAGAAGCCCCACTAGCAGACGCATCATGGTATCTTTCTTTCCTTCATCCAAGAATGTGACCTGCTGACCATGCTATATCTTCTGCTTCAATGCTTGACGCAGCTGGACCTTACTGCCATCAATCCTTGCCTCCAGAATCTTGGACTTCAAGCTGTGCTTCTGCACTCCTCGAGGCCAGTCGATGCATCCTTTTATAGCTCGAACAATGTCCGGGTTTAGCAGGTCTGGCCTCCATTGCGCTGTGATGTGCGGACTGTCACACACTTCACTGTTCTTCAGGTCAGGAGATTCAGTGACATTTGACATCCTGGCATTTGATGATCTACCATTGAGTGTATTGGATCCCATTTTCTTTTGGTCGACAGTGTTTGATGATCTCCATAGTCCGACGAATGATCTTTTATTCCGCGACCTACCTGCTGTTGTTGAGCAAACTTCACTGATCTCACTATGTGCCTGATCATTGTCACAGTTTTCATCCCAATCAGTTCCACTCACGGAAGCATCGTTTTCTCCACAGAAGCCATTTACAGACGGTTCACTTCCTCCAGGTGAATTACTAGACCCATTCTCCTCAACTTCGCTTACAGTTTCCCATCCACTATCATCTTCTGCCGCCTCATTTCGGGTGCGAGGCTGATTGCAATATCTGCTTGGCTGATTCTCCAAGAACATGTCTGTTTCAGGACTAGCTGTATGGGCTCTTGATGCACGACTCTTGGGCCTATTTCCGTTACATTGTACAATCACCTTCTCAGCAGTATCTTCTCTTTGCTTGAGTTCTTCGAATACAGCAAAAATGTCTTCTGAAGGAGGGGGGGGCTTGTAAGAGAACTCCTTGATACCATTTATCACCGAAGAGCAGATTGCTTCTTTGAGCCTCTCTGCTTCCCTTACTGTTCCTTTTTCTATATTACAGCCTGGTTGGGAACGAAGGAAATCCTCAAGTTCATACTGAAGATTGATCAGCTGGGAATACTTATTCTCAAGTGTCAGCTTTGCATCAACCAGCTTCATTTGTACCCTCTCTTCACGCCAAACCTCAGCCATCTGGAGCATCTTCTTCTCTTCCTCCAATTCATCTCTGATCTTCATCGATTCACTTCTCATAGCCTCAACCTCAGCTTTGTCTTCTGCGATCTCCTTCGCTAATTCATCACAAACCTCTTCCATGAGCACCCGTGCCTTCCTCTCCTTCTCATAATCTTGCAAATAACGCTTTGCAGCAAACTTCATCTCAGATAGATCATTGTGCAGTTTGGAATTCAGCATTTCTGCCCGCTGCCGCCGTTTCCTCTCCCGGTTCAGTTCTTCCTTAACAGCATCTAAGATGTGGTGAAACTTATCATGTTCCCTGCTCTTCAAAGAAGCCTTTTCCTCTGCAATATTCTTCGCCAAGTGATCAAGCTGCTTTTTTGTAGATCGACACTCTGCTTCAAGCTCATGAATCCGGTCCTGAGCCACCATAAGCTCCTCCCTCAATGAATAGATTTCTCCACCAGCATCCCTCTGATTGTGTTCAATGTAATCATAATCTGCACCCTGGGAAGCTTTCATGAATTGATGGTTCCACTTTGTTGCCATTTCTGTTTCTATTTGACGCACTGCAGAATGTGCTTCCATCTATTTGCAGTAAACATAATGTGTCAGATCAGATAGGACTTGGTAATAAATATTTTACAATGACTGTTCCTTCAGAACATACTTTAGTTATGAAAGTACTGTACCTCATGTGGGATATTGCTAACAGTGCTATTCCCTGTCCTGCCCTGGATAACTGCTTTATATTGCTGACAATGGTCAGGCGTGTGTGGGCGCTTTGAACTGGACTGCAGTTTCCAATGCATGAATTGAATTGTTAGCTGAACAGTTACATCAAGAAAAAGGAAAGATCTACTTATTATGGTAATGCATGTGAAATGGGGTAATACGACATAGAGAAGTAATCAGCTGAAGCATTGCTTCCTAATTAATATTGATGCCCTCGTTAAACTTTTCTTTAACAAGGGAGACTACCTTCATCAAACAATTAGAATGGCAATTGACAAAGGTTATTAGGGACCACTGGGCCACAATACCTATACGCCCACACTCAAACAAGACTATAAGTCTACAAGAGTACTTATATCATGTCATGGATTGAAATACCTCATCATTTCGGGTGAAATGATGAACAGATCTAAAAGCCAAATCAATAACCTGAACAAAAAAATAGGTAAAATGGACCAAACCAAAAACTGAATTAACTAGATTTAGCATGGGACAAAATAGCACAACATTGTCGTTTTAATAACAGAAAATGGACTCATTATCCTAAAAGTGTCAGCTACATATTGACATCCATAAGTGATTCCAATGCGCAAGGTACCCAAGTGGCCAAATATGCAGAGGAACAAGATGGGGGGAAAGCAATATGCAGTTTGGAAAGTTTGCTCAATGTGGATGAGTACCAAAACCTGATCTATAAGGATGTTCCATAGCTCCGGTTTCCTAAAAGACTCAAAGAATCATCCCTGCAACCATTGGGCTTAGAGATGGTGTAACACTTTTCCTTATGTCAAACATAATGTTTCAGCACAGCTTGACCTTATAATCATGAAATCGCTCATCATGGATGCACAAACATTAGCATTTTTCTCTAAGTCTGACCAAAACACCAACACTGGAAAGCCACAATGCTAGTTTAACCGAAGTAGTGAGGTACTTTACTGGTACTCTAGAGTATGCCTAAACAGATCGACGTGAGTCTGCAAATTCTATGCAGCTTCGATAAGAGAAGCAGCACGTGTGTACCCGACACAGTCAATTCCCAACAATTCTATACCGACATTTCTCCAAAACTACAGGAAATGATGAGCTATGTGCCAAAACTGTCAGTTGTGTGCACCACCGACACGGCGACACCAGCTGCTACGCTACCAAAGTAGCGCCATCTACAACCCTAGAACAAAACAATCTCGACGCACGCACAAGCACATCACTGTCAGAGATCTCACGGCATGCTCACCTGAGCCCTACTACGTCGCGCCGTCCCAGGCCCAGGCGGCGGCGGCGGCGGCGCCTGCGGCGGCTGCATTCGCCACAGCGCCGCGGCGATCTCCCTCACCGATAGGGCAGCAGCGCCCGCACCGGGACAGGAGGCAGAGCGAGCGCCCGTGCCCAGGGGCCACCGGACCCGCGGGGTGTCCGGAGGAGGGTGTGCCGGCGGCGGCGGGGCGGGACCCCGGCGGACGGCCGCGAGAGAGGGGCTCTGGACGCGGACCCTGCGGGCGCGGCGGCGGGACGCGGAACCGGGCCGCGGGGGAGTGGCTGCTGCCGCCCGCGGCTCGGGGCTGGCCGGAGGCGGCGGGCGGCGGGCGCGGCGGCTGCCGGGGCGCGCCATGGACGGACGCGGCCGGCTCGCTCGGCGAGTGGATAGGTAGCCGAGGTGGTGGTGGTGGTCGCGGGGGGGCAGTGGCACTCGGCGTGTGCAGCGCGGGTGTGGGGTGGGGTGTGGTGGGGCGCGTGAGATCTGGGGTATCCGACGCTGCTGGTGCCGTGGCCGTGCGCCTCACTGCGACTCTGAGAGTACTGCCTGTGACTAGCAAAGGGTAGCCCCGTCGTAGCCGAGATGCGATGCGAGGACGCTTGACAACATGGAAAAGCGGATCGTGTCGGCTTCACTTAGGCTATTCTCACTGGTTCACCTCTATTTTCATCTTTAAAAGAAATATTCTATCTTAATCATCGAGATTCTCTACTCTATATCAATTTTTTCCACATCCATGTTATCTCTATCTCATACTCTATACCCATTATTTCATATTTTATTCCACTCTCTCCCTCTTTCTCTCTCAGCAACTCTTTTTGTGCAGTGTTTAGCGTTTTCTCTCAAGGCGCTGTGTCTGTATGCTTTTTCGTGCATGCACGCCCCTGCCATTTATTAAAGGCAAAAAGTGACGCGACGGTAGGCTATCGGCTGGCGCATCGTCGCTTTTTTTACATAAGCACAAAAGTGCGGACAGCCTTACACTCTTGTTGATCACAACGTGAGGTTCTCAATCCATAGAAATTCTATTAGAGATCTGTACGCGAGAATCCAGTTCCAATGTTATCGAGTACTGTAGAGCTAGAAAACACTGTTTATACTAAAATTTGGTGAGAAAAAATACTGCTCCAGCTGGAAAAAATAAAAAAACCAGCCGGCCAGCCGAAGCCGACCAGCCGAACACGCCCTTAGCATAATCTGATGCACCTGGAGCGCGGCGTAACGCATAATCGAAGAGCCAGCACCCACCGGTAAGGGCTTCCCAGCCCGACACGGTGGCTATTAGCCTCAGCCTCCACGTACGCATTTGGTGTCCACCTCACATCCATCAGCTGCCTCGCAGGGTGTCAGTACCTCCTGCAGAAGCGCCGAGTGTCTGACGAAAACTGGAAGCAGTCATCCTCGCGCGCGTTGGAGCTAGAGCAGCATAGCCTCACCACGCTTTTTCACGGGACCACGGTACTAAAGATAGAAAACTTGCAGGACATAGGCTATTGGTGTGTTAGAGGAGAGCATTCACTTGCATTGGGAAAATTAATAGGTAGGTGCTGCTCTATCTAGGTGGCCTATTACTTTTTCCTAAGGGCGTCCCTAACAAGCTGTCTAATAACAGCAAGCTGTCTTCATAACAGCTAGCTGATATTGTTTTTTATATGACGTGGAGGAGAGAGAACATAAAAAACGAAGTCATCAGCGACGGACAAGTAGATAGGCTCGTATAGTTTTCAGGCTCGTATAGTTTTCCATAAACTTTCTCTCCGTATCTCTCCTCTGGGACCTGTGCACCTCCACGATTCTATTTTTTTAATCCGTCAGGTTACCATGTCAGCTGGAGATTTCCCCATACTATTGCGGACGCCCTAAGGCTAACACTCCTGGTAGCCTGCGTTGCTGCTGCCCTAGTCATCAAAGCAACTTCCATCATGGCAGAAAAGCGAGACAGAAAGGCCAACACCTGTGATTATCGTCCGGCCGGCGCTGTTCATCCACGGCACCGGCACGGAGGTGTGCCGTGCTCTTTTCAGGAGCGTAACGGAAAGGGTTGCGTCATTTTGATGGGTGGACGATGTGCGCAGCTTGCCTGTAGGTGCCGTGCCTTTGAGTCGCATCAAACATGATGCTAGTCCTCCTTTGGAATCTCCTTGTGGATGTTCAAGCTGAAGCACACGAATACTATAGCACCCCCTCTTTATCTCGTACTTACTTGATTCTTTTTCTTTCTGTGGCCATAGCGGTAAAATAGTAAGGGGTATAACCTTTTCCCTAAGTCCAATAGTTCCTGTAAGGGTACAGTTAGTCAGTTCCTTGTTACAACAGCGCATCGTATTGCTTGTAAACAAACTGGATTCTTTTTTTTTTGTCCTTTTTTGAGAAACAGTTTCTTTTTGTCCAATTAATACTTACTAACAAACATGCCCGTGCATTACGATGGAAACTAATACATCATGGAATCGTACTTCATACGCGAGTTATTGTAACTCTTATGAGCACGGATCATGACTCGGGGTCCATATAGAACACAGGGTGTAAGGATATAATAAGGTTATGATATCGGATTTGGGTTTTATTGACATGTAGAGGATGAACTCAAGCCCCAAGGTGAGTTTCTAGAATCGACGGAAAAAAGTTTACATCTTTAATTAAGGTATAGATATATATAGATTATTAGTTTGGATGACAAACTGCTAGGTCTCAGTCATGATTTGTTCATTAGAGAAGATTAAAGGTTTGACGATTCCATATACTATATTTATTATTTATTTTTCTGTTATAAAAAAAGGAGACAAAAAAGAGAAAAAAACAAAAAAGGTCACGTATTGAAGATTCATCTCACGCATTGTTTTTTCTACTTACTATTTTTGTAATTTGTTATTTTTGTTTATAAAAAAAGGAGATAAAAAAGAGAAAAATCACTTACAAAACTGAACGTGGGGTTATATCTGACGAAAACTGGATAGAGTAAAAAGGAAACGGATAAGGACAAGAACATGCAAACAGAAACGTTTTCTACGAAACAGAAGTCCAGGGGACCGCCGCCCTCCACAAGGTACATCTTCCTCCTATGGGCCGCTTAAGCTGACTAGGTCAAATCCTATGCTGTTTCGATAGACTAGAACTTCTGCGGAGCTGATGGTCGAGACCGAGTTACTTTAGGAATTATTAGGTTGGACGAAAACCTAAAGTAACGAAATTTTTTACCTCTTTAGTATGAGGATAGATAGATAGATAACATCCTGTCTACGTTTGTTTTTATTAAGTTTCCACAAGGCCCTGCAGCCCATTGGAGGCCCAGAGTTTTTTTACTTTGATGGTTGGACCAATTGCCAGCCCTAATACAGAGCAACAACTGTCCACTGCACAAGTTGACAGTTCAGGCAAAACCCGAACGCAAATGCAAGAGCCTATTTCAGGCCTAAAGCGTTTGCTTATACTATGGTCGATAGGGGTCATGACCCTAGTTAGACAGGCCCGGCCTTGTAACACGTTTTTTTAAGCTACCAGCAGATCTGCCCGGCCTTGCAACACATTACCGTCCTGGGCCTTGTCGGCTCCCCTAGTGTGCCCCCAGAGTAGAAGAACCAGGGTCTCGGAGGCCAACCGGAGCACACGTCTGAAGGCATGGTCCGGCCGGTAATCTGACCAAGCAAGGCAACGGGAGATTCCACTGCCGCCACGTCGTTCGCACAAGCAAAAAGGTGAATCGGTATTCCGTTCTCATCACATTTCTTTCCTCCATCTTGACACGCTTGCGAAGTGTTCAACACTCGAGATTTCGAGGCAGGCTTCTGTGTCTCGTCCAACAACAAAAATAAAAAAGATTAAATCCACTTTTGGTCCCTCGACTATTGGGTTCGTCTAATTTTAACCCTCAACTACAAAACCATCTAATGCCGGTACCCAACTGTCAAAACCGTTCACTTTTAGCACCTGGACGCAGGCGGGGCTGTTTTGTCCAACGTGGAGCGAATTGACCACGCCACGTTGGCGTTGACCGCCACGTAGGACGCCAACGTCCATCTCAGTGACATGTGGGGCCCACGCATCACTCGCTCATCCCCTCCATCTCCATCCTCACGGCAGCGCCCCCACGCTGCCTCTGGCCCGAGCGACGCTGACGTCGTCCCCCGCGCAGGCATCCGGCATGAAGCCGCGTAGGGGGCACAGGCCTTGGCTTTCCCAATGGCAAGGCGGACCACAGCATCATGTGCTGGCAGTGCAGTGAGCAGCCGCCATGGACGAGCGAGGACGGCACGGCCGCGGACGGCGAGGCGGCTATGACGCGCGCGGCGGTGGCGATGGCGCGGGGGCTACCGCGTGCGAGGTGTGGCACGAGGTTGTGCGCGAGGTGGACGGGGAGGTCAGTCGCGGTGGCCGCGGCAGGCGAGGCAAGGAGCTGGAGCGCGAGCGCGGAGACGTGCTGCTGGTGGGCGATGCCAGCGGATGGGAGGCGGAGGGGGAAAGGTCCTTGTGGAGCTGGTGCGTGGCGAGCGGGAGCAGCGAGAGCGAGGCCGGGTAGAGTGAGAGGGACTCGGCGAGGTAGTCCAGGCGTTCGTGGGGCAGGTGCGGCGAGGCGAGGAGCTCGATGGTGGCGAAGGCGAGCGGGTGGGAGCCGACAGGGGCGAAGTGGAGCGAGGAGAGGTAGGCGAGCTTCTGCAGCGTGACGGACTTGGTGGCGGCGTCGGGGGCTCAGATCTCGCGGTGGATCTTGGAGAGCGCGCGGGCGATGGTTGCGGCCTCGCCGGCGGCCGACGGGTCGGCGTGGAGGGACTTGACGAGGTCGTTTAGGGAGCGCTCGAAGAGGGTGTCCACCAGCGACAGTGCCACGGCGGGCGCCGGCGGGGTGGAGGCCATCAACAGCGGTGGCTGAAGAGGAAAAGGAGAGGGAGAGGATGAGTGATTGACATGTGGGCCCCACATGTCACTAAGATGAAGGCCGATGTCTTACGTGGTGGTCAATGCCAGCGTGGTGTGGTCAAACCCGCTCCACGTCGGTCAAAACAGCTCCGCCCGCGTTCAGGTACTAAAAATGAATGGTTTTGACAGTTTGGATACTAACATTAGACGGTTTTGTAGTTGAGGATCAAAATTAGACGAACCCAATAGTTGAGGGGCCAAAAGTTGACTTAATAAAAAAAAACAGGTTTGTCCGAGACCATTGCAGCCTGTTCGGTTGACTGGTTCGTTTCGTTGCTGGTTCGTGAAGAAGTACTGCTGGCTAGTTTGTGTTAGAGAAAAATACTGTTCCGGCTAGATATTTACGATCGTTTACGACAAGCCACAGCCAAACGAACAGGCTGCGAGATTTCGGTTAGGTTACCCATGCACATCCCCTCGCCTGCCTGCAGGTCAGGGAC